TTAAAATCTGATCATGTGAGCCCATTTGTTGTGTTCCCAAAGTGCTTCATCTTCATTTTGCAAACCTTGCACACAGTGAAACTCATGTCAAACTCGAACTTATTCAGTAAAAAGCAAAATGAGTCCAAATCTTTGCGTTCAAAGATGGGGCATGGTGAATCTCTCTTTCCTCCAATTTTGTAGTTTTCTCTTTGTTTTGGTGCTTTCTGTGCATGCATACCTTCCAGAACTAGCTGCAGGGTGACGTCAGGACGGCCCACAGTTATAAAATGGAGGCTAACAGCCATTAGATTTGCTTGATTTTTTATTTTTTAAAATTGATTTTAGGACATTTGAAAGCGATTCTGAATATTTGTAAACGAGAATCACGATTCAGATGTGAATGGATTTTTTTGGTGCACCTCTGCTAAATTACTTGGGTTTGGTACCTGGACGTGGACGTTGAGGCCTTGTCTTTCATCTTCTCGTCTTTCTTAGAGGAAGGAAACTGAGCCAGGATCTCATCTGACAACAACAAGAGTTTGATCGGACAACAGGTAAGATTGGTCTTAAAGCTAAAAGCAGCACACTCAGCGTCTCACGGACCTGTGATGTTGAACTGGGTGGCGTTGAGTTCCTGTAACAAGTGGTCCAGTTCGTTCAGACCTCCACCCAGCAGCGAGGAGGAGAAGGCGGGAGGGGGGTCGGCCGTGTTGGGGGAGCGCGGTTTACACACTGTGCTGTGGGGCAGACGGAACACGTTCAGATAAGGATTCATTATAAAATGTGTTTTCATTGACCTGAGTCACAGACGAGCTCAGGTTATTCAGACATGATGCATCAGGTAGAAACAGAGGCTGGACCTTTTCTCCATTTTAAATCTGAGTCCAACATCCTGACAAGAAACTGTCCTGCCASTCGTATTTCCCTTGTGGACCGTCAGAGTGTCAGAGTCCTGAGCTTCATCACTCTTTCCTGAGCCAGCAGCCAGTGTCAAGCTTCCTCACCACATCAGATCCAAGATTCTTGGATCTGTCAGGTCCGTCAAATCCTCACCCATTTTAAAAGCATTYTAAACATTTATGGGTGCTATTTTTCCCCATTTCTCCTTTCTTTTATGCAGGCTGTTGCAGGCTACGCCAGTGTTGTATAAAGTACCTCAAAGTGATGCTTGAGTAAAATTACTAGTATATTATCATAAAAATACTTTGGTAAAAGTTGAAGTCTTCTCTAAAAACATTACTTGAGCAAAAGTCCTGAAGTATCTGATATTTTTTATACTTAAATATCAAAAGTAAATTTCTGACACAAAATCTACTAAAGTATTCAAAATAAAAGTATTGAGTAAAAGTGAGACGTTACATTTTCCTGAACGGCATTTATTGGGAGGTGAACTCTCCAAAAAATATTTTTTTCTAACAGCGTGCAGCTGTGATGGGTTGTGTACAAAGTAATACGGTGTCAGAGTGGTTTTTAATGCTTCTCATACAACCTCAATTAAATTCACTCTATCCAGGAGACACAATTTATCAGGATAGTATTATTTTTTTTTTAATAATAACAACCCGGAATAAAATAGGAGTAACAACTTTCTACTCCTTACCTTTAAAAATAATGTAAGGAGTAGAAAGTATGCTAAAAATAATTACTCGAGTAAAGTACAGATAACCAAAATGTCTACTTAAGTGCAGTAACAAAATATTTGTGCTTAGTTACTTTACAACTCTGGGCTACACAGGGAAGCCACGATCTGTCCAATAACTTTCTGCATTCTCTGGACCAAAGCTGAGGTTTGACTGACGAAAGCTTGTTCAGGTCCAGTTTTGCTGTTTTTATTTTACATATCCAGTAGAAATAGAAAATTTAAATATTCAATAAAAATACAGGACTTTAACCACTTTTGTTTTCAGTCCACCAGCAAACCAATAGGGTATCATTAAGAGGCAATACTACACATCTTCACCTCAAAGATGATCATTGTTTTTCATGAAACTGTGTTTTTTCCTGCAGCAGGGATAAAACTAATGATAAAAAGGCACAAACAGGAGAAACATGTTTCTCACATGTTTTTAAAGCAGCAGCAATTAATATCTTACCTGTTGGAGATACGTTTAATTTGAATAAAGAGAACCTTTAGGCTTTCAAGCTGTTATTAATCCAAACTTTAGGTTTTAAAAAATAGGGTTACCTGTATAATTTGTCAGGGTGGGAGTTCTGTGAGGACTTCATTGCTGCAGAAACAGTCTAAGAGACAAAACAAACAGTCACAGAAGGTAAAATATATGATATTTAATCGTTTAGAGCAGATGAAAAACATAGGATTATGGGTTAATGAGTGTTTACATGCTGCGGTGTGTAGGCTGGAGGAGGAGGTCGAGTCTGGGCCGGGTCCTGGGAGGTGGCCCCAGCATTCTGTGGAGGGTCAGAGGTCAACAAGACGGGACACCGAGGTAGAGGAGAGCTGGTGTTCTCCAAATCAGCAAGAAGGGCGTCTGAAAGGAAGCGAGCGCTGAATTAATACAAGCGACTGGATTTAAAGTAGGGCTGCAACTACTAATCAATAAAATCGATAAAAATTCCTCATTAAAACTGTTGGCAACACATTTCATTATTGATCCGTTGTGTCGGGCGATTTATGACGGTATTAACTTAATGATTAAGATTTAAGGTTTAATTTGTTGACAGTGTCTGAGTGAAGACACTTGCCTTACTGACTTAACCTAATACTGTAAATAAAACAAGACGTTTACTGAATTATTCTAATAAGCAGCTGTCTTGACTGAAAGTCTTCTTAACATGATCGTCACTGACATGAGACTGTTCATGATCAAAGATAAAGACTTCACTTTCCTGAGGGACTAMAGATGAAAACTAGCCTTCTTGGCTAATTCTAACATGTTCTGTAACATGCACTGTCCCTTCTTAAACAAATAAACAGCAACACTATAATAGTTCACACTTTTATTTCAGGTTACACTCTTCCCTCAGGGATATATTTTACAAAGCTCATGGAGAGAAAATATGAAGAGACTTTCAAGGTTATAACACACATTTATGTAGGGGTGTAAGAAAAAATCGATACACTGAAATATCGCGATATTTCATTTCCCGATACCGTATCGATATTCTAAAGCCCTGTATCGATTTTTTTTATCAAGGTTTAAAATGTCAACTTTCCTGCCAGCTGTTCATTTTATGTTGTAGTTCAGCCTCTGACCACTAGTTGGCAGCGGTGAGTCAGCCGTTTGGTTCCTCTACCTCTTGAGGTAGAGGCTATTGTTAAGAGTTGGGTGACCATATTGTAAATTAATATTAAAAACTAAAAGCTGCAAAAAACATATTTTCAAACTATTTATTGGCAAATTTAGTCTAATAATTGAAAACATGGATGAAATAAGAAATTTGAAACAAATAAAATAAAATACATACAAAGCAGAACACAGCTACATGTATCAAAAGTATGTCCATGTAATATTAGAATTTTCTGAGACAATGAATTTTGGTTTTTCATTTTTTTTCCTATTGAGGTTTTTATTTAATAGAATTTTTGGACAAAAAAATCGCGATATATCACCTTACTTATAGTATTGCAATATATCAGGATAAATCGTATCGTGACCTCTCTGTCATGATATGTATCATATCGCCAAATTCTTGCCAATACACAGCCCTACATTTATGTAAATTCATTTTTAACTGAAGCTATCACAAATATTTACTTGTTTATGCCTTACAATTACACATTATAGTAACAGAACTCTCAAACAGCAACCTGATTTTGTGTGATTTGCTATGTCAGTCCAAATTTTCTATTTTGTAATAAAGTGGTCAAAATTCAAAATGTTTTTTTTGTTTGTTTGTTTTCTGATTAATCGATTATTCTGAAAAAAAAACCCAAAAGATTGTTTGAGGGGTTAGTTTCGTTAGTTTAATAATCGTTAGTTTCATCCTTAATTTAAATCACAGCTCAGTTTGATTTCTGATGGCATTTAAAGACGTTTCACCACTAAATCTTGTCATTCTGATTTATAGTGGTCACTGATGGCGTTCCAAGCGAAACAGTGTAAAAAAAATGCTGGATAAAACACAGAACAGAGCAGGTGGAGAACAGGAAGGCATGCGACTGACAGAGAAGATGAGCAGACAGTTACGTACCAAACACAACAACACGGGGACTGAGAGGGTAGTTAGGTGTCTGAGGTAGTCCTGAGGAGAGACAGACAGTCTGTGTGACCAAATACAGCAGCAGAAAATTCAGCCCAAACGCTGCACAGGAAAGAAAAGAAAAAAAAACACAGCTGGCCACATGGTGAGTTTACTGAAACATGCACTCATTCCTGCTTTTATATCTGTCATGGCAGCGTGTAGAGGAAGCAGAGGAGGAAGAGTGTTTGGCAAATGATAGCCAAATTTACTCCACATGCTCGCCCTATGTCGGCTAAAGAAAGTGGAAACTGTTGAGAAAGTCAAGCGGAGGACTCAGCAGCTGCGTGGCATCGATAAGTCCTGACTTCATACGTGCAAATGAAAGTTAAAGCTTAGTGTGATAAAAGAGGATGATTACAAACTTCGAGTTTTCCTCAGAATGCTTCAGTTTTGGGTTAATCTCTTGGTATGAACTCAAGGAAAGCTGACTTTCACTTTGATTGGTGGAAATACAAACTCATTTTAGCTCATTAGGTTCAAGGGCTTCAGGATCACGATGTTTATGAGTCCGTCATCCAGACAGAACTGAATATTTATGGTAATGGCAGGGCTGCAGGGGGAAAATGCTACTACTGCCTGTTTGTTCTCTGTTGAATACATGATCGAGCCACAAGGCTGCTGGGAAAAAATGTTTGTGGATGGATATCAGAGAGAACCTTTAGTTTAAAACCAGAAGTGGCATATTTTGATTTAAATATATATACTTTATATATATATACTTTATCAACTTGTCTTCTGAAGATGCTCTGTGTTGAAGGATCAGTGGATCTGTGTTCGACTACTCCACCT